TTGAGAAGTTTGCGTGTCCCCACCATACATTTTCAAGGTCCGAGGTCACATATCGACACAACAGTATATGTCATGCTCTTCTAGCCCATACATTCTTGGTCTCTATACCCTGCAAATTTTTAAAGTAATTCATTGAGATTGTGCCTCTTGATCTCGAATCGGAACAAAGTTCGCTTCGGTTATTCGAAATGATAATATTCTGAGATTCATTTTCCACATCTGTATTAATATTTTGCAATGGGTATGTTTCAATATTAATAATGGGTCCCATAGCAGTTGATCCAATGAAAAAAATTGGATCAACTCTTGAATGTGGATTAAATATTGGAAATTCTCCAATATCAATGGATCCAATCGCAATATCTTCAATATTTTCAATTGGAACAACCTCATCTACTGTAATTTCGACAATTTTATGTTTTGGGAAAAGCTACAGAATTTTGTTACCATTTTCTGAACGAAAGTTCATGCAAAGGCATTTGACCTACATATATTTAAAAAATTAAAAAGAAAATACAATTACTAAATTATATTTGGATAATATTTTGGGGTCAAAGACCCTAATCTACATTACCCGACACGATTTTCCCTCAAGGGAATTCTAGCCACCCATCCCCCCTGTTCAGAACAAATTCGAATGGGCACAATATCATTCAGCGAAACTGCGTTAAAAATCTTTAAGTTTCATTTAATTCTTAGTTTTCACTTAATCACCCATTGGTCAACAGAAGGTTAATCGATCTCGGTCAATGACATATTTACTTGGTTTTAATATTCTGTTTAATATTGCCATCCAACTTAGACTCTCAGCCGTGGAATTACAATTTTCTACGATTTAACAATACATTCGCAACAAGATCGGCCTACTCTTCATTACTCCTTTTATTGGGTTGTTTACAAAAATAACGATTTAGCTGAGAGTTAGTAAATTGACATTAGGTTATTTGGCAATTTGTTGCTGGCCACCCAGTAGTTTGTTCCTTTGTGTACCCTGTTTCCATTATATAATATGGACATTTCGTTTTTAAAGCTGCTCTTAAACATAATAATGGCTTGTTTCTATATTATGCACAATTTGTTAAGATATCTCTCCAAAGCAGATTTACTTGTTTTTTATTGATTAGAGCCAAGGATTTCCATAATATTCTCAATTCGAGGACATCCATCCCTCCAAGGGGATGGAAATGTTGCTTATTCCCCGAAAAATGTTGGGAAACAATGCTGCTTAGTATTCGCAGCATGCTGCTCACTTTTCGCAGCATGTTTTTGGTCCATAAAAATTATGTTGCAAACGGCAAAATACGTAAGTGAGGAAATGGAATTCAACGTAAGTGGGGATGGAATAAATATTCATTGCTGCGATGAAAACTCCCATGTTGTAGAGAGAAATATCCCTTAAAAAGAAAGAGACCATTTTCTACTGAGAAGAGAGAACGTCCTCGAGGGATATTTGAATAACATACGTATGGGAGTTTGGATACCCTATATTATTGAATATACTTTAAAAATTGAATATAATAGGCCGATGAAACTCATTAAATATACCATTATATACCGATTATTTATTTAATCGCTACAGCGATATTAGTTGTTATGTATGTTATGTTGAATATTAGAAAACAAGTATTACTGAAAATTTGTATATATCAAAATATACCGCAAAGTATAAAGTAGGCACAATGAGCCCTACTACAAACACTTCTTAATTGGTGCGCCCTACAGCACATAACAGCAAGCTTTGCGCTGAAAATGTAAAAGGACCCCCTAAAATAGTGTTATGCTGCTGTAAACGTTAACAGTCAAAAACAGTGCACATAACAGTCCCTGCTTTAAAGCACTTTACAGCACCATCCAAGCAATTTCAATGTTGCGCGCGCAATTCCAATGCCCAATTCAAACGGTGCTGCCCTTAACGCTTTTTATTGAGTTTATTTTGCTGCTGCAATTGTCACAAATATACATTTACTTAAACATTTACAAAGTTTTGTCAAGTTTTCTGGTTTTATCTGATTTTTCTGTTTTTTTTTTGTTGCTTTTTGTTTTTCTGTATAGTTTATTATAATTTCTGTTGTAGTTTTTAAACATTTTTTTTTTTTTAATTTATGAATTTGAATCCACTGATAATATGTACTGTATGCATAGTTTACTTTTTACTTGTCTTCTCTTTAACTTTACTTAACTTTGGGTTTCTGCTTATTGCAATTACAAAAAAAAAACTGCATTTACCCATTTGGGCATAATTGGTACATTTAAATGTTTACATATACAGATATAGTTTTTTGTTTGTTTTTTATATGTTGTATGCATATTTATATCGTAATTAGTACATTTATTTATGTCATTTTACTAAGATTGAGTTACGTATGAAATATGTGTGTAATGGTGTGTGTGTTTTGACATTTACCGTTCGATTTTGGGTTTGGGAGATTATGCAATTGTTGTCTCTGTCTTTTCCTGCCTTACGATTACATACATACATACATATAAAAGACGAATTGCTCTATTATTCATACATACATATACATATGTATATTTGTTTTTATATTTATGCTTAATTACTGTAAGTTAGAGTTGAAATATGTTCGGCAAAAGCTTTTAGAATGAGAATAAAGCAGTGCCATCGAGTGGAGAGAGACAGGCAGACAGCTAGCGGCTCTTGGTGCTGCTTGCTCTCTCTCTCTCTCTCTCTCTCTCTCTCACCTGCTTGCTGGCTCTCTTGTTTCTGTTCTCTTGCGGTTGTTTACAGACTGCAGCTTTTGCTTGGCGGCAGGAAGCTTGCCATTTTCAATGTACTCTCAATCACGGTCAAACTTCTCGAATAATAATTCATTTGAAGCAGTTACCATGGTAAATGGCCTCTGCCATTATGTTGGATAACTAACCCCTGTACCCCTCCTCGCATGTACATATAGTATACGTTTTCCATGAAAATTATATTCTGTAATGTTCTAATGTATAATAATATTGATATTTTTGAATACCCACGGTTAAGTTTAGAATCTGAAGCACCTTCCCGCTGTCTGGCCAAATCCCACTTGTATTTACTTGTAGTATAACATTTATCTTAATTCTTGTTGTTTTTTGTATTTGGTTACTGTTTTTTTGTTTTTTTACTTTTTTTGCCTGGGTTCCCCTCTAACATTGACTAGTTATACATTTATAGTTGATCGACCAATCTGCTTAGGAGCTATGGAAATGTATCTTTCTTAATCCTAGGTACATATGTACTACATGCCTATGTACATACATTGTACATACATATGTACATACATTGATAGCTCTGCTTAGGGTCTATGATCTGCGCTGTACCAGCGTACCAGATGCCAACTACAGGGAATAATCCTTGTATCCTTGTATCCTTATATCCTAAACATACAAACATAAAAAAAAAAAAAAATTACACGCATATTACCATTAGTTTCTAGATATTTGACATACTTGAATCCCCCCGGGGACTATGTCTAAGACTATGTCTAGGGACCTGTGTGTCTCTCTCTCTCTGTCTCTCTGTGTCTCTGTGTCTGTCTGTCTGTCTCTATCTCTAAAATACTGCACTTTCTTCTAATACTTTTCATTCTAGATTGGATACGATACGTACATAGATCTAGATCTAGATCTATATCCTATCCGCCTGCGTCTCCTGCAGCTCTATTTCCGTCTCCTCGGTGAGGGTGTAGACGCCTGAGGCGGCTGCCTGCGATGTTGTGGGAGTGTTGAGGACATCCAGCAGGGGACTGTTCAGCGAGGAGTAGCCCAGGGCCGAGTCGCTGCCATGGGCGATGCAGCTGTTGCTGGGCGTTGTCACCTCGCAGGATGTCACTGTGGGCGTGTAGGCGGGTGCTGGCACAGGCCCGGCTGCCAATCGTGGTGCTCCGTTGGGATCCATGGTCAGAATGGGCACCAGCTCGTGATTCACATAGTCCTTCAGCACCAGCGATGTGGGTGTGTCTGCAAAAACAATCAAATTTTATTCAACGATAAGCAATCAAAGTCTCAAGTCGGATCTCACCTGTTACCAGGGTCTCTTCGGTGGGATTGCGCTGATAGAGATGCGCACGCCGCTCATAATGTCAGGAATTGGCCGGCACATAGTACTGTCCGGAGTCATCGGGTCCCAGGTCCATCATGGAGCCACCGCTGCCAGTGCCAGCGACAATGACAGGTCCACCCGTGGGCAGCCCGTTGTTTGAGTTGGCCAAATCGGTTTTCTTGAAGTCAACAACAATGCGTATGCGATGGACAATCTCCTCGTGGATGACATTGAAGCACATGGCCGTCAGCGTCATGCCGGACATAATATACACCGAACAGAACCAGGTGGTGGTGTTCGATTCGCGCCTCAGGCCCGGCAGCATGTCCCCGAAGCCAATGGTCGACAGGCTCATGAAGCAAAAGTAGATGCCATCGACAATGGGCCAGTTCTCCAGGCGGTACAGCACCGCAGCGCCGAACACAATGTAGATGATCATCATCGAGAAGCAGAGGAGGATGGGTGCCATGATGCTCAGGCCGTGCATCGAGCCGCGCGACTCGCTGGCACTCAACGAGTCAATGTCATTCGGCAGAGTTGAGGGTGGAGCCCCAGCGCCAGCGCCAGTGCCAGCGCCAGCGCCAGCGCCACTGATGCCCGACAGTCCGCCCGAGGAGTTGGAGACGGAGGCCACCGTTGCCGCTGGTGGAGCCACACCAGCGGCCTCTGCCTCCGCCTGCTTCTCCGGCGTGGTGTGGTACACATCCCGCACATAGTATGGCTCCTGCATGGCCGCCTGCTGCTTGCGCAGCTCCTCCTGCTGTCGCTTCCGTCGCATGCGTCGCTCCTTCTCGGCCATTCGCTTCTCGTCGTAGCAGCAGTAGCCACAGTTCGAGCACAGGCAGCAGCACAGCGCCTTCGAGAACACTTCGCGGGCGATCTTGGCCAGAATGCTGCCAGTGCTGCTCAAGTAAACCAGGGTCAAGGGAATGCCGAAGAGTGCGTAAACCAAAGTCACGATCCTGCCCAGAGTGGTGCGTGGCGCAATGTTTCCATATCCTGCAATGAAACACAGATGGCAAGTCATTACAAAAATGGCAAAAGCTCATCAAAATTCTCTCGTTCCTCCTCCCTTGAATGTGATTTCGGGGAGGCTCCTGTTTGGTGTTGTCCAAAAGCACTTTTAGGACTTTTTGCAGATCTTTCCTCATATTCGATTAAAGGATTCTTATCGCTCTTTTGAACCACATTCATTTGCCAGAAATGCCAATTTGGATGGCGCCCGTGGGAGCTCTGACTTATTGGCATTACTCTCACCCAAATGAGCCGTAACTCCCGCTCATGTCATTGACTCTTCAGCTACAGCTACAGCTACAGCTACAGCTTCACCCCCCACTGGGATTTCAGATAACAGCAAAGAAAAAAAAATAAAAGAAAAATAATTAAGCTGGCAATGGCAATAAAAATGCTTAACAAGCTTAAGGCAGGAAATTCGGGAAATCGGGAAGGCGCACGGTCTTGGGTTTGTTTTTTTGGGCAGGTGGGCGTGGAGTAGACACACACACGCGCTCACACACGCACACACACATCGTTGGCAGATGCATAAATTTTGAAAAATTTCTCAATTTCATTGTCTTGTATCCACTTTTGGGAGTATTCCCTTCTTTTCGAGGCATAACAACGATGTACTTTGCAGTCAGTTAAAGGACCAACAGATAGGCAAAACGTTTCAGCGGTTTCAGCTTGGAGATTGAGCAAAACTTTCCTCGAAGAAAGTATGCAAATCGTATGACAGTTTTGCACTGGAATTTCTTTTCATTTTTGCACAATTTTTGGGTCGGACTTTTGTCGTTTTTTATGGAGAAAATGCCTGCCAATCGCTAATGCGAAATATGCACTAGCAGGGGCATCAAAGGTCTCGACCCACGCGACCTCCCTGTGCCTATTATTTTGTGAATATTTGTGTGTATTTATTTATTGGTTTCATTGGCTGTGCGTTTCACTTTTTTTTATGGCACAAATGATGCCCCCTGGTGGGTGGGTGCGTGTCCCCCGTGCCACCTCAATGAATCGAATCAATCGAAGGCGGTGTAGGAGGCTCACATGTGGATAAGACACACACACACACGCCTGGAGCTCCTGTCACTCTCACATCCGGCAAATGGAGAGAGAAGATTTGCGGATGATTTGGGGAACACTTTGAGGCGGGGTGGAGCTGGAATGGGAGCTGTAACAGGAAGCGGATTTGGCGAGAGACCCTGGTTACCATGTAATTGCGTTGACAGCAAATTTAAATGAAATCCCAGACCCGTGCGCCCCATTCACACACATAGTCACCCCCCCCGTCAAGTCCACACTCTCCAAAAAGAGAGCCAAAATGTCAATGTGTCACAAAGCAGACAGCAGACAGCAGACAGAAGACAGCTCCAGCCAGCCCCTCAGTTCACCCAGTTGCCCAGCAGGGAGGAGGGGGAATAAATCAAAAGTGGCAAAGATTTTTGGCAACATTTTGCTGATTTATTTGAACCACAGCGCAGGGTTGAGGAGAGCTCCTTCCGTTGCCTTTCCGAGAGGAAGTGTGGCAACAAAAGAGCTTCCCCACAGCCAGCCAACCGAGCATCCATCCGATGCCACCCATGGGTGTGTGTGAGGCTAATAATATTGCCATTGACCCGACTCCCGATGCTCTGAAATTCAGCTGTGGCGCACTGTCAATTTGCCTGCCTCTTAGGGAGCAGACTGCCAGACTGCCAGACTGCCAGAGTGGCAGAGGCAGGGGGTCGTTTGTGTGTGTGGCACAGCATCTACATATTTTATTGAAAGATATTGAAAGATTTCAATATATTGACAGACAGACAGCAGAGGGACAGAGAGCACAGCACACAGCATGGCTGCATGGCTGCATGGCTGTATGGCTGTATGGGTGTGGTTCTGCTTTTTGGGTTGAATGATTTTCGGGTCCGCAGAACCCGCTAATAGCCAAACGCTTTTGCTGCCCCACAAAACCCGGAATGTAGGCCAGCCAGCCAGGATGAGGCATGACCGCTTAGGCTTTGGGCCAAATGCAGTCCGAACGAGTGATTTGTGCTTCGATTGGCAGTGCCCCCCACCATTAGGGGCATTCAGCAAGTGAATTATGTGAATACATATTGAATATATTGCAGCACCAGAGCGGAGAGAGCAGCCCAATTCGAGCTGCAAATTAATGACTTAAATCGTTAAGTAGGTGCAGAATATTTACAAACATTATGCCAAGTTTTGCTTTTAAAGAGGAAGTTTCTTGGTAACTCAGCTGGTTCCCAATGCTCCTTAATGCTCATATAAATACACGTAAATCCACTAATTGATACATTTTTCCATCTTTTATGTTAATTTTCCACATTTTGCATTCATTTTCTTTATGCCCATTGAATTATCTTGCCACTTTTTAGCATCTAAAGAGTCTAATGTGAATGCAGGGCCCATTGCCTCGCTACCACTCCGAGTATTGCAAATCGAATTCCATTTGTTCCCATTATGAATTGAGATGATGCTCCCAGGCACACACACACACACACACACACACACACACACACACAAAGATCAATTTGGGTTACACGGCGATAAGCACCTATCGGATGTGTGTAATGGAAGCCATCGATCGATTAAGTGGAAAATGTGTGTATAAATCGCGGTACGCTCTCCCAACCCACAATAACCATGCGAAGCTAAGCCGATAGGCAAGTGAATTATTTATCGAATATGCGTGCAGGCAGCCCCCAATCCCCTTCTGCCTACATTCCCCCCCCCCAGCCCTCAGCCGCATTAACAACTAGACTTAATCTGCGGCACAGTAGGGTCAGGGTCCTACTGCTACTGCTGCTGCTGCTGCTGTTTCTCCTTGAAGATGGGTAGGAGACTCCCTCCATTTATGCACACACTCGTATCGATATGCCAACCACACACACACACACACCCACACACAGAGAAATGGCAAATGGAGGAGTGGCATAAAACTGAATCGCCTCGGAGATGCTCAATTGATGATAGTGGAAATGTGGGATAGAAATGGAAATGCCTTGGTCTGTCTGTGCCTCTGTGTGTGTGTGTGTGTGTGTGTGTGTGGGAAAATGGAAAATGAAATTTAAAATTATTTTGCAACTAAATTACTTGTCTTATTGCTGTCCAGGGGATTGGCCAACGCCCCGGGTGGGCCTATTTATTGCAGCAGCAGAAGGAGCAGCAACGTCAGCATCAGCATCAGCATCAGCATCAGTGGCTGCCCATAAATTCGCATTTGTGCCCAAGACAATCATAGCAACTCCACGGCTCTAGAAAGTAGTCTGAGCCTAACGCATACACATTTCTGTGGCATTCATTGGATACCCTGGCACAAGAGTTGGTCACTTTTTGCATTGAAAATTGTGCAGCGGGAAGAGAGTTTCTATGCTGGAAAGATGTTTAAAAGATGTTCCTGAAAACCTCATTGAGTGTACCCCACTGATGGTGATTGAAATGTCTGCAAGAGATCAGCTTGAACACTCGATGGCTCTCTCCCTTAATGGGAGACTCTCATCAGGCACTGCCTGTGCAGGGTATTTGCTTATTGGGTATTGGGTGCACTGCAGTGAAGTGGCTTAGTGGTCCTTTGGCCAGAAGCTGGACCAATAATCATAATCATATTGTGTCAGGGAGAAGAACAATGGAGCTCCTCGTGGGCGAAAATATACAAGCCACAGAAAAACAATAATAATAATCATAAGCAAGGACAAGGACAAGGACAAGGACAAGGACGATGAAAAGAAAAAGGAAAAGGAAAAGGCAAACGACTAGGACAAGAGGCAGGCAGGATGTCATGTTAATACAAATGTCCACCCCAACAGTCTGCTGACTAACGCAATTGCAAACTGCCAACCGTCCATAGGACACCCACGACCCATGCATCCCCAAGCACCCACCATTTTCCCCACATTTGCCTACATTGAAGCTTTTTTTTATGCATTCACAGGAGAACAAAAGGAAGTCTACACTAACGGAAACTCGTGCTTGGGATGCCCTTTCAAATGTTTATAAATTGCTCCTAAAATCTAGAAATGTTTCCCACAAAGCAGGAATAAATATTTCCCTTTGTAAGTCCTTTGTAAGACGTTGAGGGACTTGTGAATGGTAAGCTGGAATCTATTGTCTTTCCCAAATACTTCCACAAATCGTAATACCCTTCAGCATTAGAGTAAGTAGAAAACGCAGCAGAAAAGTACATAAATGTGGGAGCAGAGGCTGGGACGGGAGCTGTGGCTGGGGGCTGAAGGCGGACGGCTGACGGCGGGATGGGCCATGGGTAATGATGGTCGCTGGCAATGGACAAGAGGGGGAGCAGTGTGTTGGTGTGCTGGTGGTGGGTGGTGGGTGGTGAAAAGGGAAGGTCCTGGTGAGGTCCTGGAACCTGGAGGACCCTAGTCCTATATTTGCTTTCCGGCCTTTTTCTAGGCCGAGGGGCGGGACGGGGCGGCAGCCATCAACTTTTTTGGCCAAGATCAGCAGAAAATTGTTGCAAATTTTATTTTATATGATTTTCACAAGTGGAAAGTCGTGTCGCTTTATTGTCTCTCTCTCTCTCTCTCTTTCGCTCGTGTGTGTGTGTGTGTGTGTGTGTGTGTGTAGGGGTGGGGCAGGCGCTTGGGGTTTGTGGGCGGGTGGGGGGTCTAAGCAAATAGCTTCGTTTGTTGTTTTTCTCTATCAATATTTGACTTTCGGCTTGGGTTTTCGTTTCTATTTTTATTTTTATTTTTTTTGCATTTCGGGCCTACAGCATTACCGTCCATAACATGAGAGAGGGACAAAAAAAGGCGCACACGACAGCATTCGGAAATGTAAGATGAATATTCCCTGGGAAAATGACAACTGGTTTCCATGGACTGGAGGAGCAGACTGCTAGCAGGAACAAGCTTAAAAGTTTCCTCCTCCACCCGAAATATTTAAAATCAGAATCAGGCAAACGCCCCCAAAGATACAGTGGCGGCGGGGTAGCTGCAGGTGTTCGGGTTCGGGTTTTGGGTTGTGTTTCCAATTGAAAAAAAATTGCGAAAAATTGATACAACAACAATGAAAGAATCTTCCCTCTCGATTGAAGTCTTATCGAATTAGTTTTTGCTCGGGAGCGGGGCCCAACGGGAAAGCAAACGCAGGCAGGCAGCTCGTTTGGTAGCTCGAAAATTGAGTGAGTATCGATTGCAATTTAGGATGCGAAGCTGAACAACGATGCAACAAATTGTGGCAGACAGTAAGTTGTACAGCAGATGGTGAAGGAAGCTGCAGCAGGACGTGGGGCAGCTGGGATGCAGAAACGAGCCCGAAAATGTCCGAATTGAAACCATTAGTTGGGTAATCGATTGGCTGGTGCCTGCAGCTCGATAAATAATCGTTAGGCAGCGAGCGATAACGATAATGCTTGAGGCCGCACCATCAAACCATTAACAAGTGGAGTTCTTTAGGGCCTGAACTACTCCCCAACCGCGCTGAAGGGATGACCAGCCAGCCAGCATCCAGCATCCAGCATCCAGAAGCTCCTACAGCCACACGGACACACACAGAGTGCGGAGTGCATCCCGCAAATGCACTCATGCGATGGTGTCAAAAGGTGTACGTGGGTCATGCCCCCCCCAGCTATGGCCATGAACCCCCCGTGCGTCCCTGCAGTTCACTTTTTTTGGGGCATCCACCCGGTATGGGCTCGTTTTGGGTTCGTTTCGTGCAGCAGGCCACAGGGCAGTTGGGCCATTCGCCATTCGCCATTCAAGGAAAACAAATTTCCGTTGGGATGGAACATCAAATTTATGGCCCAGAGCCAGCGAGCGACAGAGAGAGAGAGAGAGAGGGCCAGAGAAAGGGGGAGAGAGAGAGCATCCCCATTGGCCACCCCTTTGTTTTCAACTCTCTTTCTTAGGTTCGGGCAGCGCTCTCCCCTCTCATCCTTTCCTTCTAGCTAGCGCTGTGTGCATGTGTCTCTGTGTGTGTCTGTGTAGAAGGGCATCATGCAGTGGCCATGCTGGCCATGGTGGCACTTACCAATTGTGGTCAAAACGGTCAGCGAATACAAAAACGCTTTGGCAAAATTCCACTCGTGCGGAGGGCCACCCGTGGCACCGGGCACAACGCCGCCGCCTGCGGCACGATGATGATAAAAGTGGGTGTGAAGTAGAACGGCTTCCGTGGCTGGATTGTTGCCGCTGCCACCGCCACCGCCAACGCCACCGCCAGCGTTGGCCACATCCTCGTGTGATAATTGCAGCATAACATCCTCGTTCAGTCTCTTGATTAATTGGTCCTGAAACTTGGCTATTTCCAGTGCTGCCAATCTGTTGGGAAACACAAGAGAGAAGGAGCAGGCGTGAGAATGTGTGTGCCAAAAAGGATACTCGACTCCTGCTGCTGCCACTTACTTTGTCCAATTCTCCTTGTAGAGTATATTGAGCGATACGGTTATGTCCCAGATATTCTCAATGGTCCGCTGCCGCACGTCATAAGTATCCGGCGAGATGCCCAGTCCAGCGAGTCCCAGTCCAAAGTGCGGCACCTCCTGCATCTCAGCCTCGTCCGGCTCTGCCACATCCAGGCCGCCATAAACAAAGTCATTCGACGATGCACCCTGCGGTGGCATGCCATAGGAGGAGGTGCCACCGTTGCCTGGTCCTGCTCCGAGCATTCCCTGGGCGGCAGCCACTGCTGCCGCCACCGTGTCATTGTCCACAGTGTGTTGTCCTCCTGCACGCTGATGATGTCGTTGTCCTGCCTGCTGCTGCTGCTGCTGCTGCTGCTGCTGCTGCTGTTTCTGCTTCTGTTTGTGGTGCTGCGACTGGGACTGCGACTGCTGCTGGTGCATTTGCGGCGACCTTTGCGACTGATGTGGCGACTGCTGCTGCTGCTGATAAATGCCATTCCCTATGGCACTTCCAATCCCAATCCCCGCCAGATTACGCTTGGTGCTTGCCAGTGTGTGCTGCTGATGCAGCAGTGCCGAGTCCTCGTTCTCGATGGTTAGAAATATGAAGGAGCCTGCAAGCGAAACGAAACCAAACACACAAAAAACATTAGACCCATCATTTTTATCACACATCCCAGTCCCCAGTCCCCGCTCTGGCCTTCAACTGGCAAACAAAAACTATGCGAAATGGCAGCTCATTAATTTCTGTTATGGATTCCACAGCCATGTCCCTCTCTGAGGTGCTCTCTTCTTTTCTTTGGCAAAATCAGGCAAATAAATTGGCAGATAAAGAATTTATTTGAAAAGATTTCATGCAAAATGCACAGAGAATGAATCGAACAGAGACCTCCCCGAGATCCGGGGAAGTGCAAAAAGGATCGTAAAAGCTGGCATGGAAGAGGACTAAAATTGTGCAATTCAAGAAAAGAATCTCAGAATAGTTCTCAGAGCAGTTAAAGAAAAATGAAAAAACTGAAGACTCAGGCACTTCACTCCAAATGTTTCGAGTATTTGCTGGCGTGTGTCCCAGCCGGCAGGACAGGGATCATGGCTGACATGGGTTCTCGTAGTGGCAATCGATGTTCGATTTGTCTGTGCCCCTTCGTGTTGATGCCTGTCACTCATTTAATGTTAATGCATCGCCAACTAATACACACGCATTCATACATCATTCACACTGCTATTCACACACTCACACACTGTGTGGCACACATTTTGTCAAGCTTTGCCTTCTTTTTTTGTGTGTGTTGTACACAAGTTTTTACCCTCCATCCACACACACCATTGAGAAAAGTTTGCGCCTGAAAATGATGTCGTCGGACTGATGACTCCTGACAATGTCCTCGCTGGGCGGCTCTAACACATGTCAAAGTTAAAAACAATACAAGCGAAAAGGACGACTGCAAAAGTGGCTGGGCAATGGACACAGACTCTGCTCTAGCCATATTCTTTGATTTGATTGCTCGACCTACCTAAGGTATTATTCATCGCAAATCTATTATCTGATGTTCTTCTAGCCTCTTCCTTTATCCATCGATAGGTGGGCGGCTCTTGTGTCCCTCTCTACTACTTGTCTACTCCCAGAGGCATTTACTTAAGCATTTCTCCAGCAATGTCCCATCTCTCCTCTAACTTCGGGGTGTTTTGTTCATATTCGCTGAAGCTGGCAAATGGTTTGATGTCAAATTTCTAGTTGGAGCTGAAGATATTGTCTAAAGGCAGAGCATAGAGGCGATGTGTAGAGGGCTGTGGTGTGGGGTGTTGGGAGCAGCTGTCGTATGACGACACCGGGTGGACGCATCTCTCACGCACGGCCTAGCCGAAAGTTGAATAATTGTTTGTGTCATTTTTGATGATTTCCTCTGAACAAGGGACAACTTTTCCCGACCAGCTGTCGCACGCACACACACAACACACACACACAAGACACACACACAAGACACACGCATGAGTGCAAATTTTTCGATTTGTTTAAAGTATTTCCCACACACGGAGTCTGCATATGTTGCCATTTTCCTTGTGTTCTATGCCGCCATTGTCAAGCTCTTGTCAAAGCAGCCGTCACCGTCAGAGAGCATTAGAGAACGGAGAACAGAGAGCGAGAGAGAGAGAGAGAGAGAGAGGAACAGGGCAGAGCAAGCAAAAGTAAAGTCAAAGCCCAAGAAAGGAGCTGCAGATGGAGCAGAACGGCGCGTCGCGTCGCGTCTCGTCTCGTCTCGTCGCCTTTTGGCTTTCTAATAAACATGACAGCGCTCAAAAGTATTCACACACACAGACACACACCGTGCCACACACTGTGCACACACACAACTTGCCACACTCTGGTGACGGGAGACATAAGTTTTTGGCTCTGCGGCCGCCATTTTGACATTTGTTTGTCGTCATCCGGGGAACCGTGGTATTGGGGGCTGTAACAAAATGATTAATTAAATTTATCACGTTGTCGTGTGGCGGTGGCGATGGCAGCTCCGCTCCGCTCCGCTCCTTCTGCTGCTGTTTTTTGGTTAATTTAAACGTCGAACTCTGTGACAAGATACATTAAGCATCCACCATGCGCCGCGGCAGGCTCTACGCCGCTCCTGTAGCTGTAGCTGGTGGCTCAGAGCACTCGTATCTGTAGCAGAAAACACACAAGACGGAGCGAAGCCACCGCTGTGCTGGGGGAGAGAACCGTTAATTACGAAAACAAGGAAATGGCAGGAGGCAACAGACAAACAGACAAACAGACAAACGGACAAGCCCCGAAACGAATGATATTTAATGTGCAGGCTGTGTACGAGAATATATGTATACTAGAAGCTCCAAATATCGAACAGCTTTTGCAGCGGATTCAACACTATGTTCTTAGCCATAGAATCTCCCTTCATCGACTGCTAGCCAGCCTGGAACTTACCCAACAATGTGTAGGCCAGCAGCAGCATGCAAATGCCCAGATTTGTGAGCAACGCGGACCAGACTGTCTGCGATTTGGGTTTGCGCTTCTTCGACTTGGTGGCATAGCCCGGCGGCACTGGCGGCGTTGTTTTCTCCACGGGTCTGGTATTGAGGCCCGACCCAAAGCAGCCGCACCAACCGTGTCGCCTCCGCTGGCGCTGCTGCTGCTGTTGTTGCGCCTGCGCCTGGGCTTGGGCTTGAGCCTGCGCCTGCGCCTGGATCGAGGCTGCTGCTGAGGCTGGGGGCAACGACATTGTGGGTGGATGGTTGGGTGGTGGTCCGGCCGTGGCCATCAGCTGGAGTGGCAGCAGCTTGGCGGTGCTCTTGAGTGTGCCACAGTTGCTGCTGCTCATCTGTGCTGTGCCGGAGGTGGGAGTGCTGGTGGGTGGAAGTGTGTGTGGGTGTGGGTGTGGGTGTGGGTGTGCGTGTGGGAGTGGCATTAGCTCTCCGATATAGTTGACGCTGGGTGGTGGCAGGGGATTTGGATATTTAAGGATTCCCGCGGGTGCCTGCTGCTGCTGCTGCTGCTGCTGCACTAGTGCTTGGCCCTGGCTCTGCGTCTGTGTCTGCATCTGAGTCTGAATCTGGTTGGCCACCTCGATGTCTTCCAGCGACGGCATCGGCAGCAAGGGGGTCGTTTTGAAGGTCGTGGTCGAAGGACTCGTTGTAGGCAGAAGCAATGGCAGCGTCCCGCTCGTGCCTGTCGGTATACTGCCCAACCCTGGCAAGATTCCAATAGAAACGTAGCTGGTGCCGGACGAAGTCGGGATGCCGCCGTACGAGTGAGTGGACGGAGCAGTTGCAAAACTGTCCGCAGTCTGTCCGGCTATAGTATTTTTTTGCGAAGGTAACGGCGGCCCAGACTGCATTTTTACTGGTTGGTCCGGAACCATCTTGCATTTGGTGGCCGCGATTTTAAAACACTTTTGCCGCTCTGGCGATGGCTCTCTCCTGCTCTATCTGTTGAAGAAAAACCAAAAAGAACACACTGAGGCATCAAATACACTGAGCGAAAAGTGAATTTAGCATTTGCGCCTTGGGTACAAAAATTAAATGAAATTAAATGAAATTCACTTTGATTCAAGCATGAATTGTATTCAAAATACTTTTTAATGCACTACGCATTTAATTGTATATTTTTAAAAGATTTCAAAAATAAATATACTTGAAATAAATTGAATTTAAATATGAAATATATTTTTATATTAATCATTTGCACTCTCCGTGCAAATATGAATGGCACAAATGTTTAACCAACAATGAAATTGGTCAGTTCATGGAGTTTTTTAGGCTACAGAAAAGTTGCTGAACCATTCGGAAGTGCTTTGGTTTTTGTTTTTTGTTGCCGTCACAAACATTTTGTGATCGTACCCCAAAAAACCGCTGCACTAACTCTACATTTTGGTTGCATCCATCTAAATGGATTGTATCTACATACAGCATACAAAATTCGATCTTAATTTCTAATTACAATGCTGCAGATGAAAGCTAGTTGAATATGAAACGGAGTTTGAATTTGAATTTGAATTTGAATCTGAAGGCTCAACCATCTGTTTGGCCTTTGAAGTGCCTGAAATTGTGTGGGGGCTGCAAGAGGCACGCTGGGGCTCGGCTCTCTGTGAGCTCTCTGGGTGCTCCATTAGTTTGGCTCATCAAAAGCATTAATTAACAGGCACTAAAACACCGAATGGGGCCTATACATACATAGATACATAATCCTAGCTGGGGTAGCCATGGCTGCCAACTGGCGCTGAGTGCGGAGTGGGTGGGATTCCTCTGTGCACTGCGTGCTTGCTGCTGAAATCAGAATCCTGCCGACATTCGCATTAATTTGCACAATTGAATGCTTTTCATTAAGTTGCAATTACTCGAAATTAATGCCACAAAATTGTAGGACAGCTACAGGAACAGGAACAGAGGTAGGATTAGTTGGGGCAACTGCTAAGGCAGGGGCCATGGCCTCTCCCATGCTTCTTAGACAGAATCTTGCTCGCTTTTGATTGATTGAAGTGCAGGCGAGCATGGAATTTGTTTAGTTTTCATTTGAAATTGGGTCCAGCTGGCTTCTCCAACAATTACGAGAAACTCAAACTGATTATTAGCCCGTTGGGCATGAAAGCATGGCCGAGGCATACACACACAGACAGAAGGAAGGCAGCAATAGAGGCGCAAAGTGGCAGAAAGCTGCTGCAAGAGGCAGGGGGAGAATGTAAGTGAAGCAAGCAGTTGCCAGGAGGCTGGCAAATAGACGAAGGTGTGGCAATTAAGGACGCTCTATGCGAGTGCTGCATATTTTAAAGCGCTCGACTTGTTATTCCTCTGTCTGCCTTTGTATTTCCACCACCATGCCTCCATTCCTCTCTTCCATCCACTTGCACCCGCGTTCACCTGCTGCTTTCTCCACTGTTTGCTTCTGTTGTTTGTTGTGCGTCGAGTCGACAGCGAAGGCGGCCAAAAGGCCGTCACAAGAGCCTTAGAAGCGAAAAATAAAACAAAAGCGAAACAGGCCAGCGAGAAATTCAGTTCAAGTGCAGCGACACACACACACACACACACACACACACAAACATTACGTATGCAGGAGAAGGGCGTGCCTCCCGAAGGTCTCACCTTCAAAATTCCCCTCTGTCATGCCCCGCAGCATCAGCAGCAGTTTAACGCAATGGAATTCCAACAGCCAATTGGCCAACAACAGACTGAAGATGCGTTAGAAAGTGATTTGTATTTGACATCGGTTCCGAAATCGGTTGTGAGGAGAACCTTTTTGCACCAAAGACAAGTGAAGCTATTCGTGTGCTTTGATTCTTTTTTTCATTGTAGATCCATTGAATTTTGAGCAGATCCCATTTCCAACTGATCGAAACTAATCGCGGAACTTTGGAAATTGAGGAGAACATATTTCCAGCTGGAATTCAAATTAATGCCGTGTCAGAGTTGCCGGAGACCAAGCTAAAATGAGTCCTGGCCGAGGGTAAGCAGAGGTTGAGCAGGCTTTCACTTCAGTCTCCCGAAAGACCGAGAGTAAGAAGTCTCACCATAGGCGCAACAGTTCTGAGAATGAGCAAAATGGACAGGAGAAATTCAGCAAAGATTCGAAAATAGATTCGAAACTTGTGAAGGTTTCACAGGTAACCGAAAGCATTATTGAGATTTAATTCTATTTACTTTTATGTTGTTTTCCCTTGAGTAACTTTGTGCTTTTCTTTATAGACCATATGTTGCACTCGAAAAGCCGCTGATGATGTGTCAGAGGAGAAAACGATCCGCTCGAGGCGAGTGAAAAATGCGATCGTCCATAAATGCAAGCTCGCATATCCAGTACGCTTTTTGCTCTCTATTTATCATCCATTAATCGAATTGAATTTACATTTTCGCCCGTAAACGACTTTTTGTCGTTGTTTTGTGACTTTAATTCCATTTTGCACATGATTTTACATGCAACTGAAACAACATGGGGCACAGGAGCTCTATGCCACAAAATCCATGCGGAAAAACCCACTAGCCACGCCGCGCCATGCCATGCCACTCCGTGCCACTCCATGCGACACCATGCCACTCAACGGAATACAGTCCGATCAGAGAGAGAGAGAGGGAAAGGTATGAAAACATCGCGGGGATTAAGAATCATTTCCTGGTGCATGCCCCAGAAGGATAAAAGCTGAACATTAAATGCTCGCTCAAATGAGATGAAAACAGATGAAAGCAACGCGGAGTGTGGCGGAGGCAGTAACAGGACTTGCAGCAGCAACAACCACGCAGCCACAGCAGCAGCAGCAGGAACACAGGGCACAGGGTATCATAGTGGCACGGTGGCATCGATGAGTGGCAGAGAAAGAAAGTCGTTCGGCTTGGATGGGGTCCAATATTTCAAACACGCGTCGAACGCATTTCCCGTCCCCGGAAAACGGTTACAGCGGAAATGCAACTTTGCCCCGTTGTTCGAGCGTAACTGTAGTTTATGTTTGCCCCATGCCACACACACACACACACACACATACACAAACACGCACACAAACACACTCACTGCCACTCCCTCTCGGGACCATCATACGCACATGGATTGTTGCCCCTTGCTTGCTGTCCCTGCGGCCATCACACACATGCCATTCTTTGTAGCAAGAACTATCAACAGAGAGAGAGAGAGAGAGAGAGAGAGTGATAGTGCGAGTGGTGCAACATGAGGTAGCGAGAGAGAGAGAGTGCCACAGTGGCAGAATGGCAGAATGGCAGAGTGGAGACCCGCATAAATTGCTTTTTGTTTGGGATTTTCATTCTTTTTGTTTTGGTTTTTCGGGATGCCCATTCGTTTCTTTTTTTCCACCGCTTTTCCACAGCTTTGTTACGGGCAGTCACAGATACAGTTACAGCTACAGCTACAGCCACGTCCGGCTACGTCCGGGGCCACAGAGTGTCCGCCTAATGTCTGCTGCCTGTTCGTTGTCACCTCTGGCTGCTCTGGCAGGAGTTCTCCTGCCTGCTCCTTGCCCCTTGGCCTTTGCATTCTTTAATTCATTCTATTGCTTTCTTTCTCTCCTGGTGGCGGGTCTCCTGATTTTTACAATTATTCCGCAACGCTAAGGCAAAGCTTTAGCTTCGGTTTCCCGTCATGACTGCGTGCCTTCCAAGGGCATCCGCCAAAGTCCCTTTTGGATGTACCTAGAAAAAGGATGTGCAAGTGTATCCAAAGCTTCGGTTCCTTCACATTTTTGTACGTCCTTCCCTTCTTTCTCATTTGGTGTGTTGTTGTTGTGCCGTTTTTTGCCTGGCTGGCTGGCTGGCTGGCAGACATTCATTTTCTTGTGCTTTGTGTCTCACGCAGTAAATTGAGATGGATGGATGGCCGAAGGAATGAATGAAGTGACGGCAGTGCCAAAGGACTTCCTCCTTTCGGTTGAGCCAATAAGCTGGGCGTGGCAGCATCTTGGATTTAACAGGGAGATAGCAAGAGAGAGACGAGAGAGAGATTCCTTAATTGGTTTGTCGTCGTAAGTGCGTCGCCGACTCTGGCTGGACCTGGCTGGACCCGCAAATTCTTGCTCATTTTTGGTGCCTGATGTGCGGACGGACGAGCCCAAAGAGGTGACCCAAAAAGCCCATACATTTCATTTCGGATTAAGCTGATTTATAGCTGAAAAAAGTAGAAATGGGGCACTTTTCAAATGGCTTTCAAGTGTAGCCTGAAAAGTGTTTTAATTAATGCAAAATGTAGGTCCATCAACAATCAACTGATGGCCAATCCGAAGCTACTGTCAATTGTCATATTGTTCATATTTAATGATTTAGCTTCGGCGAATCCTGGCGCATCCTGGCGAATGCCAGGAGATACATAAATATTTAGAATATAATTGTGTACATCAGTTAACCGCTTCTCCTTGCAATCTTTGGTCCGTTCTTGGTGAAATATTTGTTGGCAATTATTTACCTTTACTTTTGCACTCCCTTTCTGTTTCCCTGATCCTCTTCGCAGATATTTCAAATTATTTTATTTGTCTGCAATTTTGGCCCACTTTAATGCTGATAATTTGAGGCTTAAATGTAATTTATTGCCCCTTTCCTTGCCTTGCCTTTTGGCTCATTTTGTGCCCTTTCGGAGGGCCAAAGTCCCATGATTTTTCACAGATTTTGAACACATTCTTACCGTAAGTAAATATCAAAAGACGAATGACTATATTCAGTAAACTATTTACATATAACTTCAAAGTTATTCTAAAGGTTTCCTGTACTTTTTCGGTGTTTTTCGCCTTTTTTGTTTATTTTCTCATTTGTTTTTTTAGAGTTATTTTTCGCGTAAATCTCGCTCCTATTTGAAGCTTCTATTTCCCACTCTTTTAGCCTAATGGTCTCTATTTTTTACCTCGTCTTGTTTAATGCATTAATTGTGCTGCTGCTGCTGTTGTTTCTGCGGGGTTTGGCAATGCTGCCCAGCAGTGGGCGTGGCAGTGACTATCATTTGTTATATG